AAATTAGATTTTAATCAGACAACTTCCTCATCCCCAATAAATTCAGGGATGTTTAGTTTCACAGAAGGAGTATTTGGACAGCAACTGGCAGTGTCTTCCCAGCTGCCAACAAGTCCTAAAGGAGGACAATGTCTTTGCGGGTATTGAGTTCCGTCCTAAAGGTGGGGGTGAGCTGAGCTTTTACAGGAGTTCTCTGTGACCACGAGTCACGATTTGCCCCAAACTGTTCAACCCAGTGGCAATCCTCTGCTACCCCAGCCCTTTGCAGCAGTGATTTCCCAGCTGTGAGTGACAACTTTCTCTTACGCCAAGATGTTTCTTTGTGGAGAAGCAGAGTCAGCGACACAGGGAAAGTTTTTGTCTGTACCAAGCCAGCTGTTCCACAAGTGTGTACCGAGCACCTGCTATGTACCAGGCTCTTTGTGGGACATGGGGAGGACAGAGTGAGCAGTCTGACACAACCCCTGCCCTTAGCGTCCAGTGGGCAGATGGGCACTAACTACATTTCCACAGCTAGTTATCGATTGTATGATCCTGCCATGACAGAAAACGACAGGGAGAACAGTGCACTGCCAAGTGCTGGTGAGGAGAACAGGCGTGCTCGTTCGCTGACACGTCAGTCCCTCAGTGTCAGACCTGCCCCTGAGCGGTGGGCGCTGCCCACCTGCGCCGTGTGACTTGTGCAACAGAGGCACTGCGTTTATTTATTTAACTGTAATTAATTTTATTTTTTTGCAGTTAATTTTAATTTTAAAAAGATACTTAGTTCCATTACTGAAGAACTTTTAAGTGTGTTTGGGACAAGTGTTTATGTAAGTTTACTTTTCCAACTAAAACTTTTATCAAGCCTAAATACAGGTCAAATATTTCTGGTGAAATCTTGTATCTGAACTGAGGTGTGCTGTGAGTATACAGTAAATACATACCAAATTTTTAGGGATTTATTGGTTTACTTAGGGGAAAAAAGAGAGTAAAATATCTCAGTAATTTTTATGTTGATTATATATTGAGGTACCAAAGTGTTGGGTAGATTAGACTAAGAAAAATATTTTATTTTTGATTGATAGATAGTAACTGTACCTACCTATGGGCACAGTGTGGCATTTCAATACCTGTATACAATTCATAATAATCAGATCAATGTAATTGGTATATCTGTCACCTCAGATATTTTATCATTTCTTTGTGTTGGGAACATTCAAAATCTCTACTAGCTATTTTGAAATATTCAATTAGTTGTTTATATTAACCATAATTATCATACTCAAAATAGATCAAAGGCCCAAATTATTAGAAGAAACAGGGAAACAGTTTTGGGACATTAGTCAGTATCAGATTGATAACCCTTAATTATTGCGATCTGATTAGGCCTGCAATCTCCCAAACAAGTGGAATGTGAAGGCTTAAATAAATGAGACCAGTGATACGACTGTAGGGCTCCAGCAGGCTCCAAACCCTCTATCAGAATTCAAGGTTCTTTGGGGCTAAGACAAAGAACTTCTCTGGGTGGCCTGTATTTATTAGGTTTTCAAACAAAGGAGGGAATTCTAGCAGGACCTTGGGAAATATTTTCCCAGGTAGTACATTAGGTCAATCAGGAGAACTACCTGAACTCTACATTGACATTTATTGTAGGAGAGCGGAGCCTGCAGCTGCAGTTTCCTTTTAGTTAATTGGGGTTGGAGCCAGGTGTCCTTAGCTGTTGCCTTATTGTGTCCTTTGAGGCATCAAGTCTTCACCCGCGATTAGGCCTCAGCGGGGACCAGTGACTCACAGGGGTTCACTTACTGTGAGTCCACTGCACTCAATAAACATGAACAACTATTATGTGCCAGTTAAAAATAAAAAGAATAGACCAGGCATTGTGGCAAACACCTGTAATCCCAGCACTCAAGAGACTGAGGCAGGAGGATGCCTTGAGCTCAAGGCCAGCTTTAGCTACACAGCGAGAATAAAATTTTCATTTGTTTTTCTTTTCAATGTGATAGCTTAAAATTTTTGAATTACATATATAGCTTACATTATATTGCTACTTTAGAAGCCAACTTGCAAGTGTGTATATCTTCTGTATATTCTATGCATATATACACACATATTTGAGCCTGAATTCCCCCTCTGCATCCTCCCGAGATAAGTACCTAGCCACAAACTGCAGGAGGACAGTCACTGGGCATTGTGTATGATACCAAAGTACTGGAAAAAAATCTTAACATCCACCAACAAAGAATGGATTTTTAAGTGGTGCATCCACAGCTTGGAGTACTCTGTGACACTCACAAGAGATAGAACGAAGATATTTCCCAGACATAGTAAACGAATCTTCCGTTCTCTCCCCGCAGAGGGACTCAGGGTAAGTAATGGAGAACAGGCAGGGATGATGAACGGAACAGGAAGTAGCAAAGACTCAGGTATCGGCGACCCTGTTTAGGAAGCTTCCCCAGCCCTGGTTCGTAACCACGCCACTTTTCCTCCCCAACCTGCGTTTGAGCTCGGCTCCTGAATGGCTGCCTGGAAGAGGACAAGTGTCTCAGCTGAGTTTGCACAACCCGGACAAACCTTGGCTCCAAGGATCAGGAGGTAGTGCAGCCCGGTGGTCAGAGCAGCCCGAAGTCAGGCTGGGGAGCTCCAGGTCTGGTTCCACCGCCTATGTGAGACTTCAGCTGCTGATATCGTCTCATGTCTGAGCCGGAGATTACAGCAACAGCAGCCGCCTTCCAGGGCACCAGAAGTACCCCCCTGTGCCTGGCAGGGAGCAATTGTGCAGTAGAGGTCAGAAGAATTTGTCACCATGAGTGTGGCTGCCCACCTCCCGAGGCTGCCCGCAGCCCAGTGCTCCTGTGGACTGAGGGTTATGTTGCCAGCCCAGGGGACCCGGGGAAGCCAGCCTCTCACTTGGGAGTCCCAGCCACATGAAGGCCACCTGGAGACTAGAGAAGGTGCACTGGGGTTGTCACTGTCCCTGGCGGGGAGGGACACGCTGGTACTTGTGCCAAGTGTCCTGCAACGTGTGTGACAGTCCCCAGACACAGTAGCTGTTCATCCGAAATCTGGGTACCACCCCTTTGTGAATCCCTGGAATTGCTGACAGGACAAACAGCACTGCTGCTGTGTTTGCCTTGATCTAAGGAAGGAGGCTGCTTGATTATTTGCAAATTTTCTGCTAAACACGCCCACTTCTCCCCGAACTCGGTAGCAGGGCTTTCTGGAGAGCGGAAGGGGAATCAGGAATCCGGCTCCACAGATGCCGGCAGAGTCCCCGACCGCCTCTCTCTGCTTCTGCTTGACTTGGAGCTGTACAGAAAGCGTCGCCCTCACTTGCCTGCCCTTGTCTTACAGCATCAAAATCAATGCCTTTTCATTGCCAAATACTTCACTAGCCTTCGTGCCCGGGGTGGGCATCAGAGCACTGACCAACCACGGCACCACCAACGTCAGCTTGGACTGGGAAGTCAGGGCTCCGCTTTTGTGAGTATCCCACCGCCACCGCTGCCGTCTGGCGAAACCGGAAGGTGTATATACATTTTTAGGTTCACCACCGCAGTGGTCAGTGTTAGGCTGTTTTTTGTTTTTGTTTTTTTGAGCCGGGGTCTCATGTATTTAAGGCTGTCCTCGAGCTTACAGCAATCCTCCTGCCTCAGCCTGCTGAGTGCTGGGATGACAGGTGCGCACCACCCCCCACTTGTTAGGCTTCTTTCATCAGTAGCAGTGCCCCCCAGAGCATTCTTTCCAGATGTGATTTAAAAGCTGAGCGACTAATTGATCAAATGTCATTGAAGACGTCCTGAAAGGGAGGAACAGCTCTGACTAAAGTCCACGCCTGTGGTCCGGGCACCGCGTGTAGACCTGCCACGGCTGGTGCCTGAGTAGCACACGCACTCGTGAGGTCACTCCACAAGCACGCGTGGTGCCCCCCACGTCCCATCCCCCATCTTAGAATCCAGCCCTGAGAGAGCAGGGAGAGGCGCTGTGCCCCACAGGCCATGTCCTTTAAGGAACAGCCTCGGTCCCCCGCCCGGCCCGGGCCCGGCCTCATCACACTGCCTCCCTCACAGCCATGATGCAGGGGGAGCCGACCTCTTCCTCTCCGGAGTCTACTTCACGGGCGTCCTCCTCCCAACCCAGAACGTCTTCGGCCATCCGGCTCTGCGGCTCCAGGACTGCTCCGCCCAAGTGAGCCACGCCCACGTCTCCTTCTCGGGGGAGCTGAGGTGAGTGCGGGCAGCGTGGCAGATGCGGCTGCGCAGGGCTGCGCCCGTCACCGCACCTCAGGAGGCTCTTCTCTTCCTTCCCCAGTGCGCTGTACAACACCTTCGCCGAGCCCATGGAGAAGCCCATTTTAAAGAACTTAAACACGATGGTAAGTCTTTGGGGCTGGGCAACACCAAAGGCATCAGCAGCTGGTCTGCTGTCCTTACTTAATTCTTAATCAGTGCGCCCTTATGGAGCACCTACTGTATACGAGGCTCCGTTCCGGGCACTTGCGCATACACTAGTCTCTGCCGCTTAGTGACACTGCGTGCTGTGTACCAACCGCCGTGGGGGCTTTGGGGCCCCCAGAGAGGAGAACCACATCCCTGTCCTCAAGTTGCCTGCTATGGGGTGGGCAGGCAAGCAATGAGAATCTGTTTATTCTGTGCCTCTTTTGTGCCTGGCATGGGACTAGGGCCCATCAGGGATACAAGGGAAGAATAAATTTGTCTGCCTAGGAAACCAGACTAGGCTTGGGAAACAGTAAGCCGGTGAGGACTTGAACTTAGCACATAAATGCACAATACTAGATGGCACTGAAGGGGTTCAGAGGGATGGAAATTAAAGAAATAGGCTCAGGCCGTGTCCACGGGGCCAACCCCATGGCCAGCACACAGGGGCACGCGGCAAGCACATGGCACTAGGCCTTGGCCCTTCCCAAAGGCGCGCCTTAGTCCCACTCAGAGAGCGGGGAAGGAGAGCGGTTTCTCTCCGGCTCTGTCTCTGGACACTCCAGCCAGCCCAGGCTAAAGGATGGGTCCGGCTGCAAGCACTCCAGTGGGCATGGAGCAGCGACGGGGCGGGGGCAGTGCTCAGGGAGGACGCCGTTCCTCAGGTGTGACAGTGGCACATGCCCTAACATGCCACGTCGAGGACCGCCACGGGCCTTATCTGATGGGCCACGCGGTGTGGGCCTGTTGCTGTGGGTCGTAGCAGTGCCTGGCGGTGCTGGGGCTCTAAGGGCCTTGACAGGCTGCAGGGAGAGTGCTGGTGAGCTCGCCTGCGTCTGACGACGCGCTTATTGTCACCCTTCGCCGCAGCTCTGTCCCATCATCACGGACGAGGTAGAAGCGCTGAATGTCAACCTCAGCTCCCTGGACGGTGAGTCTCAGGACAGGGCCTCCCGGGGCGCCCACCCCACCTTCAAGTGCTGCTCCCCCAGCTCTGCTTCCCAAGGCACAGAGTACCCACTCTTCCCTGTCTCCTCCCACCCTGCGTGTTTAGTTTCAGTTTTCATTTTGGCTTTGGCTTTGGCTTCTTTTTTTTGAGACAGGGTCTTGCATGTAGCCCAGGCTGGCCTTGAATTCAGAGTGATCCTTCTGCCTCAGCCTCCCAAGTGCTAGAATGACAGCTGTGCACCACCACGCCCAACTACCCTGTAAACTAAAGTCCCAGGATTCTTTCATGTAGGAGGACACGGCCTGAGCATGGCACAGGTGCTCCCTGGGTACTTAGTGACATCACACTTGAGAAGGGGGCTCTGGATGCCAGCCAGGAGGTACACGGTCGGCCGCTAAGCCCCAGCTTTGGCATTAAGCCCGGGTCCTGTGAGATGATTGGTGCGGGCCCCGATGAGGTTGCTCCCTTGTGCTCCCCTGCATTGGCCCCCTTCAGTGTCAGGCCCACCACGACCCCTGGGCCCAAAGAGTAGCCACACACTGGCTGCACTGCCCATCCCTGCTGCTGCTTGCAGCTTTCCCTCTGTGGCCCTCTCTGTACTTAGTGATGTCACTAAGTAGCCAGGGAGCACCTGTGCCATGCTCAGGCAGTGTCCTCCTAGATGAGCCCGCTCTGCTGGAGGAGCTCCGGCCCCACATCCACTGATCCCCAGAGTACCTGCGTCTGCCCTGAACCCTGCTGGTCCCCACATCACAGTCTGGGGTCTGCTGGGCAGTGTTGGACACTGGCCTCGATGCTGGGAGGCAGCAGCTGCCTGGGAGGCAGAAATCCCCCCACTGGCCGGCCTGAGTGGGAGGAGCAGACCAAAAGCCAAGTGGGCCATCAAGTCTATGCTGGTAGGGATGTGTGGTCAGAAGACAGATAAAGCAGGGAGAGGCTGAGTGGGTTTCTGTTCAGAGCCTGTGGCCAGGAGAGCCACTCCCAAGCAGGTGACAGTACAGGAAGAGCCCGAAGGGGTGAGACGGGGCTGCTCCCAGATCTGACTCGTCCTGGGCCTCACTGGTTCCTGCCGTGACACGCACCAGGAATGTTATCGATGGCAGAAGTTCATTTGTCGCGTGGTTCTGGAGACCAGGAAATCCAAGGTCGGAAGCCACATAGCTCAGGGCACTGCGCTGAGCTGTGGCCTGGCAGACAGGCAAGCGGGTGTGTGAGACAGAGAGGACATCGCTCTGGCTGGATCTGTAACAAATCTGCACCCAGGGTAATGGCATTCGTCCGTCCCTGGGGTTGGTGCGCCATGGCCTAAGCATCTCTCAGAGGCCGTACCACAGCACTGGCAATGTAACTGCAGCGTGAGACTGGGGACACTCACGCCACAGAACGCAGGGGACACCCAGGCAGACGACTCGCACTCGAAGACCCACTGCAGCAGCGCGACCAGCTGTGAGCAGCCGAAAGGAGCCAGTCCTCACCAGAAGCGGAGGGCGTGCGTGCGGGGAAAGTGGTGCAAGGTCAGGGCAGAGACAGCGAGGAGACTGAGGATTTCAGGCTCTGAGGCCGCTGCACACCCACCTTGAAGCCCAAGACGGATGCCTGGAGACACCTGAGCGAGGCCGTGCGCCTGGTGGGGGCTCTGGGCGGATCGCTGTGGCCTCCGTGCCAACAACAGGAGGACAAGGAGAGCCAGGCACGGAGGACCAGCGCAGTGACCGTGCAGGCAGCGTAGCAGCTGGCCAGGGCAAGGCAGCAGACCCGGGGCAGGACTGGCTTCTGGAAAGGCAGGGAAAGCAGCGGGTAGCGTTGCCAACAGCCCAGCCGCAGCAGGAGAGCAGTGAGGGTGACTTCAGGTCTCCCCCCTGCGTGGCTGGGAGCGGGAGAGTGCAGGATGCATCCACCCAGCCGGCGAACACTGAAGGACTGGTTTGCACAGGAACGTGGGCTCCGTGCTCGACCTGCTCTGACAGCACTGTCGGGCCCCCGAGGCTGCGAGCGCCTTAGAGAAGCGCTGACTGTCCCCAGCGCCAGGCACAGGGCGCAGCCACCCCAGATGCAGGGGCACAGCTGGGGTGCGACCAGAGGACGTGGGCGTGGGCGGGTGATGGGCGAGGTGGGAGAAACCCAGGGGGCTGCACAGGCGGGGAAGAGGGGAATCGGCCCAGGAGGCCCACGCAGCCCTCCCCCGTGGGGCAGGCTCCCTCACCCACAAAGGGTTTCCATGCTGCGTCCCTCCCCGGGCGGCCACGGGGACCCGCTGAGATGGGCACTGGAACGCATTTTAAAAACTACAGCAACCCCTTCCCTTAGCAACCACCACCCCTTCTTGCCTCCTGGAATAAATCAAGCAGTGGCACAGGTGCGGGGAGAGAAGTATGCGGAGCAAGGCACAGCGGAGGTCCTGGAGCACAGACCATGCGGGGGGCCGGGCCGTGGCTGTCCTGAGGCCCAGGCAGAAAGCCGGAATGTGACTGCCCAGGCAGGCAGTCCTGCCCCAGGACTCTGCGCATGCTCACCCTGCTCCTAGGCCTTCTGCTGTGGTCTGAAGATGCTAATCTGAGACTATTGTTGTGCCTGAGAACTTCCCTCGCCTCTTTAACTTGGTGGTTTTTACTTTTCTTATCACAGTGTCCCTCATTTTAAAAAAAATTACTTGTAATTGCAACAGTAATGCATGCTCATTATAAAAAAAAATGAAGTTCTAACTACACTGCCATCTACAATATTGAGCTTGAAAGGCTCTTAGTCCAATATATATGGCTTGAAATTTGTAAGGGTCTTTGTGCTAGTGTCCTTTTTAAAATAGAACCAGATATAGCCAGGCATGGTGGCTCTGCCTGTAATCCCAGCATTCAGAAGGCTGAGGCAGGAGGATTGTTAAGTCTGAGGCCAGCCTGGGTGATACAGTGAGTTCAAGGCCAGCCTGAACCGCATAGTGAGATCCTGCCTCAAAAAACTCACTATGTATGTATTGTGTGTACAGGTACAAGCACACATGTGGTCTTGTGTCTGAAAGCTACACCCCAAATCGTACTGATGTTTCTCTTAGGGTAACATGATTGAGGAAGGTTTCTATTTTCCTCTTTGACTTACCTATTTTTCTTGAATTTTCAAAAGTAAGCATTTTATTACTTGTGAAAGGAGAGATCTGCCATTTTAAACAAAGAACTAAAAATAGTGTTTGGGCCTTTATTCATCTTACACCAAGCTTTATTGAATATCGGTTCTTTTCTTTTTTGGCCATTAGTGTTAACCAAGATTGACAACTTTACACTGCTGGATTACTCCCTAGTCGGTCCTCCAGAGATTACTGAGCACTACCTCGACCTGAATTTGAAGGTAACTTTGTCGTTCAGACTCCTCACCCCCTCCGTAGCCGACACTTGTAGAATGAAGATTATGTGCGGAAGAAAACATGCGCGCATGCCCCGCAATCGATCCAGTTTTCTTTCAGCAACTCTCTCGGGTTTTTGCCTCTCCCAGACTCTTGAGCCCTTTCTTGATGGGCAGATGGTTGTTTGCCTTGTGTGCCCCTGCCTGAGCAGCACCAGGCTCTCTGCCGCTCAGAGCGGGTCTCAGCACAGGCACAAGTCTACACTTCTGCAAACAAAACATGCGCTGGCATTTGTCTTCCTAACTCTCAGCTTAGCGGAGTTAGCGGGGGCTGCCGACCTGCGCCGGGGCTGAAACCCGAGGACGACACGTTCTCTGACCCTGGAGGAGCCCACATTGTGCCCACGTTTAGTTACTAACATTGTCTTTCACAGTGCGTGTTGGCTGCTGTTTCTCTCATCCAGTCTCCCAATCAGTTCAGTGTTGCTCAAGGCAGCATTTGTAGCAATGCCCTTGGAGACTGAGAAGGGCGTTAGGAATTCCTTGAAGCGCCTTGTGCCTCTGGCGTCCTGGGCCCTTCCCAGTGTCTCCGTGACACCGCAGGGATTCAGGAGTCAAGGGTTGGACCCCTCCAGTGGGACCTCAGGAACCAGTCAGAAGCGGCTGCTCCAGCCGCCTGCAGCGCCATCCTTTGTCAGCTAGGAGCCTCCCCCTGAGCTGCACCCTCGCCTGGCTGGAGAGGGTCTGCCTGCCCGTCCACCCGCTCAGATCTGTGCCTGGTAACCGGCCCTCCTGGTCTCCTGCAGGGTGTGTTTTACCCGCTGGACAACCTCGCCGACCCCCCCTTCTCTCCAGAGCCCTTCGAGCTGCCGGAGCGCCTGGACTCCATGGTGTACATTGGCATCTCTGAGTACTTCTTCCAGTCGGCGTCCTTTGCGCACTTCGCCGCCGGTGCTTTCAGCATTACGCTGTCCACCAAGGAGGTAAGGAGAGCTGGCAGGTGGTGACCTCCAGCATCACCGAGTGATGTTTCAGATGTCGGCCACTGTAGAATTTTTGTCATAGCTCCAGTTCCTGGACTTTTTAGGTCTCACCCCTTGCAGGGCAATGAGAGAAATGATCATGGAATGATTGTTGTTATTCAGTGGAGAACGGTTACGTTTCCAGTTCTGCTAATGTCGGTTTTTCATGATAGCTAGACCGTTCTAGATTGATATTGACGAATGCTGAGGCCTCCCCCACCACTTACTGCCTGAGGCCCTCCGTCATTTAGCTTAGCTTCTGGGTTCACTTCCTCATTTGGAAAGGGGAGCACGTGGGGCTCCACACTCACGGGGATTTGTAGGCATTAACAGGTTTACACGCAGATAAAACACCCAGACTGAGACCCAGTACATAAGTGTACATTGCTGGTGCTGTGCCCCATCGTTAGTCCACATGTTACACTGACATCCGGGCTTCTCCTGGCGGTGATCACGCCTGGTTTATCACCAACAGTGCCCAGTAACAGTGCAGATGCTCACTGATTCTATAAGCATAGTGAGAACCTCCCCTCTGGCCAGTTAACTGAAAACTTACTGAGGGTCCTTTTAAGATCTCCTGCTTCTGCATGCCTTACCTATACCAGAAGTTACACATCTTCTGTTCAAATGGTAAGTGTGGCAGTACCAGCTCTCTTAACGTGCCGAAAATTAGACACTTCAAGCTTCAGGCTTGAAAACCATCCACCTGTGAAGGTAAATTATGTAAGCATCCTGACTCTCAGTAATCTCAAAAAGCACGGACAGCAATCAGGGTTTGTCATCAGTGCCTGCGGATGTCGTGTGTGGAGTGCACGTACTGTGCCCTGTCCTGCAGGGTTCCCACCTTAACAGGTGCTTGCTGAAAGGGAGGCTAACTCCTGAGTGGACTTGGGTAACTTACTTCACCCCTGTTTACTTCTCTTGCTTTACTTACTCAGACCCCCCCGGGGTTGGTCTGTAGACCAACAGGGCACCTAGACATTTTAGGGTTCAGCAGCTTCACCGCTCGTAGAATTATAGGGAACTCCACATTTTTCCTGAAAAGACAATCAAGGTAAAACCTTATCGCGACTCCGTGATGTCTGCATTTCAGATTTCCAACCACTTCATCCAGAACTCCCAAGGAATTGGCATCGTGCTCTCCCGGGTGAGTGCTCTGGGTTCGACTCCTTCACAGTGTGCTTGTTTTCATTGCAATTATTTCCAGAAGATTTGTAGGTTCGTTGTATTTTCTTCTGGTCCAGGAATGAGTCCACCTTTCCTTTCCTGGGAGTTCTTTTTTCTCCTTAATCAAATATCCTCAAATACTTACTAAATACCATGAGTTAAAGTTTAAAATATATTACGATTAAAGCCATTGTAAATTCGTAAAGTAATCTGTTCCTTCCATGAGGTTCCACCACAGTTGAAGTAAGTAGATTAAATACAATCCAGGTGTGGTGGCACACACCTGTAATCCCAGCACTCAAGAGGCTGAGGCAAGAGGCTCACCATAAATTTGAGCCCAGCCTGGCTACGTAGTAAGTTCAAGGTCAGTCTGAACTACATAGTCAGATCCTGTCTCCAAAAAAAAAAGACCTTAAATAAAGGATATATTAGCTTTAATAAAGAATTTAATCCTTAAGAAGGTCACCCAGGCTCTCTAGAGCTCGGGCCTCTGTTGCAAGCAGGAGCATTGATAAGAACCCTCCTGGGGATTGCGAAGTGTACATGGGAGGACAAGAAGCCCTCGGCAAGGGAGCTGGTACGTGCTGTGTACAAGAAATGCCGGCGGTTATTACCACAGGGCTCGGTGTGCTCTCGCCATTCCTGTCAGAGAGGTCTTTCTACTCTACCTGCATGCTGCAAGACGTGGTCTCCACAGGCCACCCCAGATCCGCTGTTTCCCCTCACAGCTCACAACCCTTGGTCTCGTTTCTCCCCCTGAATGGGGCAGCTTGCAGATCTCTACATCCTGTCGCAGCCCCTCATGCTGCGGATCATGGCCACGGAGCCGCCAGTCGTCCGCCTGCAGCCGGGCAACTTCACGCTGGACATCCCCGCCTCTGTCATCGTGCTCACGCAGTTCAAGAACAGCACGGAAGTGGAGCCCATCGTCTCCATGGACTTCGTAAGTGCAGAGGGGCAGGAGCACCGTCTGTGGGTGTCGCTTGTTTCCGCAGTGGACCACTGACCAGAAACTTGTTGGTGCTTGGAGGGGTAGGCGCCGACACCCCAGTCAAGGCTGAGAGTAGAGCTGAGAGTGGGGCATTACCAGCCAGGCCAGCTGCACCCACCACGCAGCGCGTTCTGGTTAAGAAAAGAACTTGCTGGGGGCTGGGGATTTAGCTCAGCGGCAAAGCGCCTGCCTGGAAAGCGCAAGGTCGTGAGTTTGGTTCCCGGTACCGGAGAAAAACCAAAAAAAAAAAAGAAAAGAGCTTGCTCCCAAGGCCGCCCCATGTGGAGACGAGAGTCTGTCAGGGATGGCTCTGGGCGTGTTTCTGGGCTGAGGCTGGGGTGAGGCTGGGATCAAGCGTCACCAAGTGCTCCTGTCACACTTACAAGTCAGAGGTGTCATGGAGTCGGCTGACAGCAACACCTCAGAGCAGTGAGCCTAGGGGCTCACTCAGCATCTGACAGTGGGGTCCTGCTCAGGCTTCCTTCTGCGCCCAGGGAGGACGTGCGGAGGGGCTCCAGGCCAGGGCCCTGCCCCGCACATTGTGATCGATCTCTCCAGTGTCTTCTGCCCCTGTGCCCTTTCCGCCCCTGTAGTGTCAGGCGCTGAATTTCTTTTTCCTCAAAATAAAGCAGTCAAGGTGGAACTCAAGTTTATTCTTGTTCGCCTGAAGTCCAGACGTAATCAGAAGGGAACCAATACAATGAGCCTAGGCAAAATCAGAGCAGGAAAGAGGGAGATTAGATTAGGTGAAAAGCAAAAAAGTGATTTAATGGAGACCTTCGGACAATAGGCTTTTACAGTTAGTTTCCCTACCCGAAAGACAAGATTTTCAGAGCAACTTCTTGCCGATACCTTTTGATTCAAAGGGGAGTCGGGCTGACGATGTCTCTGCTGTAGGAAATGGTACCTGTGGCTGAGGTGGATGGAAGTGCTGGCCTCAGTAACCAAGGCTTTTGTCTGCAGGTTGCCAGTACCAGCGTGGGCCTGGCGATCCTGGGACAAAGGCTGGTCTGCTCCCTGTCTCTGAACAGGTAAGATCCCTTGCCGTGACTGTGGGAAGCCTCGGTGGCAGGTGAGTCAGCGGGGACCCAAGACAAAATGACCTTTCAGAGAAGGTGTGGGCGTGGCCAGCGTGTGGACACCCACCAGTAAAGCGCATCGCATGTGACAGACCAGGTCATCTCAAAGCAGGGACTTGATCAAAACTGCCTTGCGAAGTTTTTCTTTTTGCTTCCCATTGTAGTAATATTAAGATAAAACAGGAAACAGTATAATTATAGAGCTAACTCTGTAACGTAAGTGCACATTCTAATGGCCCAGCAGCATCACCTAAAGTTGGTTTTCATTAAATTCCAAGAGGCTGATATCAGGGAAGAAGAAAAATCTTTGGGGCTGTCTTGGTTACTTTTCTCTCGTTGCTGGGATGAAATACCTGATGCCCAAAATTAAGGAAGGAAAAGTTTATTTCACTTACAGTTTGTGGAGGTTTCAGTCCATACTTGGCAGATTACAAGGCAGACTGGCACATGGCAGAGAGCTACAGCTCATGGCGGCAGAGCACAGCAGAAACAACAAGCACACACCAGGGTGGAATGGCCTCAAGCACCCTTTTCCTCTCCCTTACATATGCAAACTATCCACCTTAGGGCGGGTGTAGCTCTCACACCCATAATTGGTCAAACTCTAAAAGCCTGCCCCATGGCCGCATGAGGCTTTGGGGGGACACCCAGACACAAACCATAATAGGGGCCTGCTGGATGAGGTGGTGCACGCCTGTAATCTGAACACTCAGGAGGCTGAGGAAGGAGGATCACCAGAAGTTCAAGGCCAGCCTGGGCTCACAGTGAGGTAAAGGGGGGCCTGAACTATGTGGCAAGACCGTTTCCAAAAAAAAAAAAAATATCTTCAGGGGCTAAGGACCCAACTTGCTAATCCCTTCTCACTGGCTCTATGATTGCAACCGAGTCTATTAACACCTTCCACGCTCAGTCTCCTTTTCTGTAAAGTCAGGAAGTCAGATCGATGGTCCTACAGTGCTATCAATCAGATGCCAACAGTCAGGTAGGTCCCCAGGGCACAGTGAGCACAGCCCTGCTGGTCCTTAATGGCAGGTGACACAGCATGGCAGGAGAGCAGAGGGCAGGGCCTTGTACGCTAGTGGCCTTTTGGAAGGACCATCTGCAAAGCCACGTTCCACTCGATCTCAGGGGTCGGGAACGCGGCTCAGGTGGCCTGGACTGAAGTCAGAGTCAGGACAGCGAGAGACAGGCAGGCAGGACCGTGAGTCAACCTGAGGGCTAAGCAGACGGTCTGGAAACATGGGAAACATTTTCCATAGAAGCCTGTTGAATGGAGAAAGCAGGGCACAAACTCCCTGGCATGCAGAGGACAGCTGTGTGAAACAGCCTCGCCTCTGGGTGAGGGAGCAAGCCGCTCAGTTAGGAATAGGTGGAGCAGTCGTTTTTCATAAAAATATTCTTTGAAACTATCTTTTTCCAGTAAAAGGAATACAGTTTTTTAAAGGCACCTGCAGTGAGGTTCACTAGAGAGAAAAGATTTCTGCGGGGCCGTGCTGGGGTTTACCCAACCTTTGCGCAGCTGGCTCTTCCTCATGGCGCTGGAGGGCAGCGCCTGGAGCCCACCTTCCCTTAAGGACTCAGGAAAATGCTTCCTTGTTTCTTTCCATGGTGCTGGGGATGGAACCCGGGGATGCTCTACATGGAGCGACCTCCCCGGCCATTTTTTATTTCTGGACAGTCTCACTCAGTCCCCCGGCTGGGCTGGATCTTACCACACTACTGCCTCAGCTTCAAGTTGCTGGGATTACGTGTACACACCACCACACCAGGCATATATTTTTAGACGAAATAATTTTAAAAGAATGCAGTCCAGACTCAATTAAACCTGCTGTACACTAACACAGTTGTAAAATGTAATTTAAAAATTTTTCAATGAAAGAAAGAAGCCCCAAAGCAACAATAGCTCAGGCCAGGGAAGTCACAGGGTGGCCCTGGCTCTAGGGCATCATGGAACCCCAAGCTTGGCAGTGTTTGGCAGTTCTAATCTGTGAGCAAGCAGAGAGCAGAATGGACACAAGGACGGAAAACAGGGGTAGGAGGCAGACCAGGCATGCAGGATGCAAGGGGAGGACTGGGGCGGCCCTAACTGAGCCACGGGGGACACCGGGGCCTCAGGGGTGCCTCGGGCTGTCAGAGGAGAGGAAGTGGCAGGGGGAATGTGAGGCTGGAGCTGGGGAGGGGAGACCGCAGGCTGCTGGCCCAGGCAGCGGGGCCTGCACGAGGATGGAACTGCCCCTGCCCGAGCAGGTGTTGCACACTGGCCTTGGCAGGATGGACGTGGAAGGAGGAAGTCAGAAAGATGGGGCTTTCGGCTGTGGTTTCGGAGCCATGATCACTGCCTTTCTGGACTCACCTGCTGGGTTTGGCTCCCTGTAGGGCAGGGACAGCAGGTTCCCGCTGTGCTCTGGACCCGACCTCCCCTCTGCCGTCCTCACCAGTGAGCAGCGGGGTGTAAGGGGTCTTATTTGTCTAGGGGAGGAACTGGGAAGTGCGTTTTAAATGGCTAATGGTGAGGCCTTGGGTTTGATCCCCAGCACCGTGCAAGTACACACACACATACACACACATACACACACACACACACACACACACACAACCTTGTATGATGAAGTACCTTTTTCCCTGTCTAAGGCTGGCCCCAAATTTCAAATAATCTCATTGCCCACACTTCCAGGGCCCCTAGCAGACCTTCATACACTTACCCACTCACATGAGGAGGCCATGACTTCCTTCTCCAGCTTCTTATGTCCCTGCATGCACTCATCTTGGGAATGCGAGCCCTGAAATCAGCATCTGTTCCTTGATGTCCCTGTCACTGGGTCCCCTCAGAAGCAAGCCTGGGAGCTTTAGTGGGGCCCTAGCAGGACCCACTGCAAAATGGAAACGTGGAGCCCTGGTGCAAAAATCAGGCAGAATTTCAAGATGGAACAAGCTGGGTACTGAGGTGGGCACAGGGCCACTGGGCAGTCCTCACACACCTGGGTAGCACTGAGCAGGCACGACTGCTACAGGCGTCACAGCAGACTCAGCAATGAGGCCCCGCCCACCTGGCACCCAAGGCCAGACCTGGGCCTCCCACGCCACCCTGCAGGCTCCTCCACTTGGCCAGCTGGGCCAACCCTGCCTCTCCAGATGAGCAGGTTTGGTCTCGCTGATGTCAGAGGGACACACTGGGCAGGCGCAGCATGCGGACGGAGATCTGCAGAGCCAGGAGATTCAGGGTCTCCAGAGAAGCTCCCAAGGGCCTCAGCCTTCCTAAGCATCACCTGCCTGAGCTGCTTGGAGCCAGCTGCATAGATGTGAGATGCAGAGACAAACCCTGTGGGTGGGTGAGGACAAGGGCCAGCCTTGGAGTCGGGGTAGCTGGGTCCAGAGCCCAGCACTGCCATTATCAGCTGTGTCCTCTCAGGCAATTTCCTTAACCTCTCTGAGGCCCCATTTCCTCCTCTATAAAGCAATGCTCTAAGAAAGTTACCTCAGGAGGGGGTCGTGACCATGTGAGTGTGTACATGTCAGAAAGTCTGTTAAGTGCTCAAGAAAGTAGGCTACGAGTTTATCTGAGATTTGGGGTTAACCTCAGCCAAGAGAAAAAGGTGCTGAATTATACAAGGTCGTGTGTGTGTGTGTGTGTGTGTGTGTGTGTGTGTGTGTGTAATGTTGAGGATAAACTCACAGTAGACAAATGTTCTGCCACCAAACTACCGCCCCACACCTACAAGGTCATTTCAAGAGTCCCTGTTCAGAATACACCTCACCCACTAGCCCCTGCTCAGGGATGCCTGCAAGAGAAAGCGCCTTCTGGTCTATAGCTGGCACCTCCTCATTAAAATTGAGCCTTTCATTTCTTGTGGATCCTGTGCCCAGCACTGTACCTGTATTATTTCACTTAATCTTCGCAACTCAGCATACCCAGGGCCTGACATGGTGCTCAGTAAATGGGTGCAGATGAAGTGAACAGCCCTGGAGGCTAGTATTATTGTCCTCATTGGATATTCTCTGAGGTAAAGTAACTTATCCAAGGTCACAGGACTACTGAAAGCCAGGATTTGGCCTCTTTTCCACTGTGAGCATTAGTTACTATGTTATCACCTTTGAGGTTGTTAGTCAGCTTTTCATCACTGTGACCAAGTACCTGACATACACAACTCAGAGGCGGAAGGTTTTCTTGGGCTTGTGTTTTCAGAGAGTTCAGTCCATGGTTGACTGGCTCCATTGCTTTTACATCATGGAGAGGCAAAGACATGGCAGAAGGGTATGCAGCGGAAAGCTATATCCAGGAAGCAGAGGGAAAGAGAGCCAAAGAGCTGTACCCTTCAAAGCCGCACCCCAGGGACCTGTTGCCCCAGGCAAGCCCTGCCTCCCAACAGCACTTTCACCTATGAACTCATCAGCGGATTAGCCTAGTCAGCACTCTGGGACTGCCGCTGACCACTGATGCATGTGGATCAAGCCCTCGACACAGCAGTCTGGGGGCCCCTTGTATTTAATCCATAGCACGTGTAGGGAGCACCTAAGCCTTGATAAATGAATTTAGACCTGGGACTGAGGAAAACGAGACCTTGCTCAGGAGAGGAACCCCAAGCACAGCAAAAGGAGCCATGTGAGATTGGAGCGAGAGTCACACCCTTTCCCAGTACTGCATATTAAAAGAATAATCATCACATGCAAAACTTTAAGCGATCAAATGTACATTGTTGTTGGAAGCATTTAGAACTTTAAAACATTTTTTTTATGTTTTGACTGAGGCTCTGGACATCCCCAAACTGTACTGCACCCCACTGCCATCAACACATGCACGCCCACATGCGCATGCACACACACACACACACACACACACACACACACACACCTCCCAACCAGCACAGTCAGAGAACACAAGTCCATTTGGTTGGAAGCAGATGGAATTGCTGCCCAGCCCCCTCCTCACAGCTGGCAGATCACCATCTCCTGCA